AAACAGAGTCTCGCTCTGTCACCAGACTGGATGGAGTGCAGTGGCACGATCTTGGCTCACCGCAACCTCTGCCTTCTGTGTTCAAGTGATTCTCCTGCCTTAGCCCCTGATTTTTGTATTTTTAGTAGAGACACCCAGCTAACTTTTGTATTTGTAGTAGATACAGGGTTTCTCCATGTTGGCCAGGCTGGTCTTGAACTCCTGACCTCGTGATCCTCCTGCCTCGGCTTCCCAAAGTGCTGGGATTGCAGGCATAAGCCACCATGCCTGACCCCAGATTCCTTTTAAATGCTCCTCACGGCCGGGCGTGGTGGCTCAAGCCTGTAATCCCAGCACTTTGGGAGGCCGAGGTGGGGGGATCACGAGGTCAAGAGATCGAGACCATCCTGCTCAACATGGTGAAACCCCGTCTCTACTAAAAATACAAAACATTAGCTGGGCATGGTGGCGCGTGCCTGTAGTCCTAGCTACTCAGGAGGCTGAGGCAGGAGAATTGCCTGAACCCAGGAGGCGGAGGTTGCGGTGAGCCGAGATCGTGCCATTGCACTCCAGCCTGGGTAACAAGAGTGAAACTCCATCTCAAAAAATAAAAAAATAAATAAAATAAATAAATGCTCCTCACAACCCTCTGTATTTGTCAGTTGAGGGATTTGCAGGGTTTGAGACAGAGCCTCGGGTTCCCTAGACATGTTCCGGGTGGTGCCCGAGTACAGTCCTCACAGGCTGGGCTGGTGATGGCCTGTCTCCCCTACCCCAGACGTCTGTGCCTTCTGCCACAAGACCGTGTCCCCCCGAGAGCTGGCTGTGGAGGCCATGAAGAAGCAGTACCATGCCCAGTGCTTCATGTGCCGCACCTGCCGCCGCCAGCTGGCTGGGCAGAGATTCTACCAGAAGGATGGGAGACCCCTCTGCGAACCCTGCTACCAGGTAACCCCTGCAGCAGATCTCTGGGTGCCAGGCACTGAGCTGGGTACTTAGGAGACGTTGCACTATTTCATTCCCCCATGATCCTGGGAAGTAGGCACTATTGACCCCTTTCACAGATGAGAAAACAGGCTCAGAAAGAAGGAGCCCAGCGAAGGTGATTAGTTTCCTAGGGCTGCCTGTAAGAGATCATCACAACCTTGGTGGCTTCCAACAATAATCGTTTATTCTGTCCCAGTCCTGGAGGTCAGAAGCCCACAGTCAGCTTCACCGGGCCACAATCAAGATGGTATGCTGCCTGGAGGCTTGAGGCGAGAATCCAAATCTCTCTGCCTTTTGCAGTGTCTTCTGTTTTGAGACAGAGGCTTGCTATGTCACCCAGGCTAGAATGCAGTCATGCAATCTTGGCTCACTGCAGCCTGTGCGTCCTGAGTTCAAGCGATTCTCATGAGTCAGCCTCTCAAGTAGCCCGCTACCACACCTGGCTAATTTTTGTGTTTTTAGTAGAGACAGCACCATGTTGGCCAGGCTGGTCTCGAACTCCTGACCTCAAGGGATCTACCCCCTCACCCTCCCAAAATGCTGGGAGCACTGCACCCAGCCCCTTTTGCAGTTTTCCTCCCCTCCCCTCCCCTCCCCTCCCCTCCCCTCTTCTCTTCTCTTTTCTCTTCTCTCTTTCTTTTCTTTTTTCTGAGACAGAGCTTCACTCTTGTTGTCCAGGCTGGAGTGCAATGGCGTGATCTCGGCTCACCACAACCTCTGCCTCCCAAGTTCAAGTGATTCTCCTGCCTCAGCCTCCAAAGTAGCTGGGATTACAGGCATGCACCACCATGCCCGGCTAATTTTATATTTTTAGTATAGATGGGGTTTCTCCATATTGGTTAGACTGGCCTTGAACTACTGACCTCAGGTGATCCACCCACCTTGGCCTCCCAGAGTGCTGGGATTACAGGCGTGAGCCACTGCACCTGTCCCTTTTACAGTTCCTGCAGCTGCAGTCTCCTTGGCTCCTTCCTCCACCTTCAAAGCCAGCAGTGTAACATCCCACTTCGGCGGCCGTGTGGCCACTGCTTTGTCAAATTAGAGGGACACTATGATGGTATTTAGGACCCACCTGGATAATCAGGATAATCTCCCCATCTTAAGAGCCTAACTTATGGATCATCTGAAAGCCTCTTTTGCTGGGCAAGGTAACATTCACAGGGTCCAGGGGTAAGGACCTGGATATCTCTGGGGACATCTCTTAGCTACCACACGAGGTAACATGAAGTGGCCAAGGAGCTGGGATTTTGCTCCTGTCTGGCTCTGGAGCCTGCCATCAGTCTTGTCACTGTCTCCCCTGGAGCCATAAGGTTCCAATGCTGATGTCACCGGAATCTGTGTCGTGTCTGGGTACCACTTGCGATCTGGGAGAGCTGGTTGGGATGCCAGCACATTGGAATTTCTAACTCTTGGATGGTTTGTGGTGGCATGTTGAGTGTGGTGACCACCCATAGCCGGATCCTCTGGGTGTGTGTAGGTCACTCCTTGTTCTTAGGAATGAGGAACACCTGGAAATCTGCATTTTGAACAAGTGTCTCAAGTGATTCTCATGCATATGGAAGTTTGAAAATGCTGATTTGGCCAGATGCGGTGACTCACGCCTGTAATCCTAGCACTTTAGGAAGCCAAGGCGGGCGGATCACAAGGTCAGGAGTTTGAGACCAGCCTGGCTAACAGAGTGAAACCCCATCTCTACTTAAAAAAAAAAAAAAAATTAGCTGGATGTGGTGGCAGTCGCCTGTAATCCCAGCCACTCAGGAGGCTGAAACTGGAGAATTGCTTGAACTTGGGAAACAGAAGTTTCAGTGAGCCGAGATCATGCCACTGCACTCCAGCCCTGGCGACAGTGCCAGACTGCATCTCAGAAAAGGAAGGAAGGACGGAGGGGAGAAGGGAAGGAGAACAGCCGATTTGAGGGTCTAGGGTGTTTGGAGCTGAGACTCTCCAGAAGAATCCAAATAATCCGATCCCAGGCTCACCACCAGTGAGGCACTGTGGGAGGAGAGAGGAGCCAGGCCCTCCTGCCCTGTCCCTGTGGCCCCATCAACATGACGGGGGAGTGTCGCTCAGGGGTGAGACACTGAGGTAGGAGGGGTGAGGAGGGGTTTCCAGCTGGAAGCAGCCAGGAGGAAGACTTGAGCAGTGTGCTAGGAAGAGAAGGGCCATGCCCATGAGAGGGAGGGAGGGAGCAGGAACTGCTGCCCCCCATATCTGTCCAGGTGGGGTCAAGTTAAAATGCGCAGAAGCACAGCCAGGAAGGAGGGACAGCATGTCCAGGAGAAAAGGTGGAAAGGCTAGAGGGAGGCCCACTGCTCTGGCTCAGCAATCTCTCTGTCATTCCTCCTCATTCCAGAAGGAATTTGAGGCAGCTTCTAAGAGTGCATATATACCAGCCAGCGCAGTGGCTCACACCTGCAATCCCAGCACTTTGGGAGGCTGAGGTGGAAGGATTACTTGAGACCAGGAGTTCAAGACCAGCCTGGACAACATGGCAAGATTCCATCTCTATTTTCAAATATTTATTTTTTATTAAAATATGTTTTTAAAAAGAATGCATATATACCTATAGACCGCTAATGTGGTGCACTGAAAAATTTGTTAAGGTAGATCTCAGCCAGGTGTGGTGGCTCATGCCTGTAATCCCAGCACTTTGGGAGGCCAAGGCAGGTGGATCACCTGAGGTTGGGAGTTTGAGACCAGTCTGCCCAACATCGAGAAACCTCGTCTCTACTAAAAGTACAAAATTAGCCGGACGTGGTGATGCATGCCAGTAATCCCAGCTACTCAGGAGGCTGAGGCAGGAGCATCGCTTGAACCGGGGAGGCGGAGGCTGCAGTGAGTCAAGATCATGCCACTGCACTCCAGCCTGGGTGACAGAGCAAGACTCCATATCAAAAAAAAAAAAAGGGTAGATCTCATGTTAAGTGTTCTTCCCCCAATAAAACAATTCTTTTAAAGACTGCAGTAATACTATGATATGTAAACTAAATAAAATCATCTAAACAGAATGAAAATTAAAATAGAAAACGAGACGAGATCAGAGGGAATATTACTACCCAAACGTGTGAGGAGGCCAGATGCAGTGGCTCACGCCTGTAATCCCAGCATTTTGGGAGGCCAAGGCAGGTGGATCACTTGAGGTCAGGAGTTTGAAACCAGCCTGGCCAACATGGTGAAACACCATCTCTGCAAAAAATACCAAAAACTAGCTGGGCGTGGTGGCACACACCTGTAGTCCCAGCTACTCAGGAGGCTTGAGAATCACTTGAACCTCACATAGCTTGCAGTGAGCTGAGATTGGGCCACTGCACTTCAACCTTGGTGACAGAGTGAGGCTGTGTCCCAGAATAAAACAAAACAAAAACCAAGTAACAAAAAAGCCCTATAATGATTCCTATGGAATCATACAGACAATAAAACTTGAAATTCTTTCCCTTTTCCATTTGGCCACTTGGAAGCTCAGAGCCATTTGGCTTATTGTCTGTATGACAAAAGCACGCCAACTGTCCTAAGAATTTTTTTTCCTGACCCTGAGGTTTTTAAGAGAGGTTTCTCCTATGCTGTCTGTGGACCCTGGCCATAAATATATCCCAGTAACAAGAAAGGCAGTCATAGCCTCAGAGCAGTATTCCTTGCTGTAAGCCAAGGATGCAAGACTAAGCTCAATTTGTTATAATCAAAGGTGGAGATTTTAGGCAATAGTCACGGGCTGTCTGCAGGCCTCTCCTGTACTTCCTAGCTCCTGGGCCCCCGAGGGTAGCCTCCCAGAAGAAGGCAACCCTTGTGGCTTCGGGTGGGTGTGCTGTGGATGGCTCTGGCAGTAGCCTCTGTCCCAGGACACGCTGGAGAAGTGCAGCAAGTGTGGCGAGGTGGTCCAGGAGCACATCATCAGGGCCCTGGGCCAGGCCTTCCACCCCTCCTGCTTCACGTGTGTGACCTGCTCCCGGTGCATCGGGGATGAGAGCTTTGCCCTGGGCAGCCAGAACGAGGTGTACTGCCTGGACGACTTCTACAGGTATGAGAGGGATCTGCGCACTGGGTAGGGGGTGGGGACAGGGTGAGACCCAAGCAGGACAAAGGAGCTGAGCTTTAGTCCTGGGGGCTGGGCCAGAGTTTCTGTCTATTGGTTTATTATAAAGAATATTACAGGGC